CATGCATGAATTTCATGCACTGGACCTCTAGTCAATGATAAGACAGAATCATTGATTAGCTGCTTCCTGCATGCCTCCTACTGGGGATTGAGCCCACAACCCAGGCATGTGTCCCTGACCAAAATAAAACTTGGGACCCTTCAGTCCGCAGGCCAACGCTTTATCCACTGAGCCAAACTGGCTAGGGCTCCATCATTTTTTTATATAGGTTTTCAATTCCTTGCTCTCTCTCTTCTCCTTCCGGCACTCCCATGATACGAAGGTTGATATGCTTGAAATTGCCCCAGAGGCTTCTTAACCCTTTGCACTCCGAACCATTCTGGACATTGGCTACCAGCTACTCGACGCTACTTTGCGGCGGAAACGTGCATTTACAGACCCTCGTATTATTTAGTATAATTTTGGAACCAAGTAACGTATTATAATGATATTGGACTTATATGAATTGGGTGACATCGAGGAATGTATATTTGCAAAAAAACACAATATTTTATTGTTTATAATTTTGTACAGTATGATAAGTTTTGTAACACTCCCCAATATGCATTGCAGGCTGATTAGTGCATGTTTGACAGTAATAAGTGGCTTGACGCCTGCCACCAGGTGTTTTCCTGTTAGAACACACAATGCAGTCCCGTTTTCTTTGTCCCACATTGGGAATATGTAGTTTATTGTTTAATCCGACACAAAACCCGCTGACATTTCTTGTATATATCTTAGTAATTTTACGATATTTTGATTTAATTTCTTGTGCCATTTCAAGATAAAACTTCAGGGAAACATGCATGTCTCAAAAAGTTGCGTTGAAATAACTCAATTCCCCGTAATCACTAATAAACTGCAATGTCCCCTGAGAGGGGACATCTGAGTGATATGCTAGAATTCCGATGTCCCCTGAGAGGGGACAGTGGAGTGCAAAGGGTTAAACTATCCTCATTTTTGTGGATTCTCTTTTTCCTCTTTTTCTTTTTTTAATCTTTACCGGAGGATATTTTTCCATTGATTTTTAGAGAGAGGGGAAGACAGAGAGAAATATCAATGTGCTAGAAACTCATGGATTGGTTGCCTCCTGTACGCGCCCCAACCAGGGCCCAGACCAGGGAGGAGCCTGCAACTGAGGTATGTGCCCTTGACCTGAATCTAACCCAGGATTGTCTGGTCTGCAGTCTGATGCTCTAACCACTGAGCAAAACCGGCTAGGGCTATGGATTCTTTTTCATTTTGCTGTTCTGATTGGGTGTTTTCTGTTTCCTTATCTTCAATATCTCTGTTTCATCTACTCCACTGTTGATTCTCTGTAATTATATTCTTGCTTTTAGTTAAACTATTCTTCATTTCTGGCTGGTTCCTTTTTATGTTTTCTGTCTTTGTTTTTATGTTTCCTGTCTTTTTGTTGATGTTCTCACTAAGTTCCTTATGCATCCTTATAACCAGTGTTTTGAACTCTGCGTCTAGTAGATTGCTTGTCTCCGTTAGTTTAGTTTTTTTTCTGGAGTTTAGTTCTCTTCTTTCATTTGGGATATGTTTCTTTGTTTTCTTATTTGGCTGCCTCCCTGTGTTTGTTTATCTGTATTAGGTAGAGCTGCTACATCTCCTAGGCTTGGTAAAGTGGCCTTGTGTAGTAGGTATCCTGTAGAATCCAGTGACACAGCCTCCCCCCAACCCCAATCACTCGAGCTGGGCACTTCACGTGCGCCCCCCATGTGGGCTGTGTGCAACTTCCTGTGGAAGCTCTGATTGCTGTTGGCACCCCAATAGGAGGGAATTACCCCCAGGCCAATGGCTGTGAGGATGAGCTGTGACCACCCTGGAGGATCAGCTGTGCAGGAGCCAATCCCATAGAGCAGGACTTACTTCAGCAGGGCTCTGGTGCCTGCCGAGTCCGCCCCTTGAGTGTGTCTCTTGGGAAGGTAGTTGGGTGGTGTTTGGACATGGTCTGAAGCTGTCCATGTGGTGCACTGGCTCTGGGTCCTCCTGGAAGATTCAGGCCAAGGTCAGCTGCTACCTGTGCCCTGCCCAGTATATACCCCCACCCCCCACCCCATGAGCTACAAAGCAATCTTCAGATGGCTGCTACTTGTGCTGGGCTTGGAGATGCCCAGGAGAGGCCAACCTGCACACCAAGGCTGGCTGCACTAGTGACAGGCCTGGGGCCACTTAGTGAGAGGTACAGGCATGCAGCATGCTGAGGCCAAATGCTACTTGTTTAGAGATTTTAGGAAAGTGTAGTGTGAGCCAAGATGGGCCATTCATATGGAAAAGCCACTGGAAACAGCTTGGGTGGGCCCACAAGTTGGATGAGGCTGGGTCTCAGGGAATCACCAGAGCAGGATGAACAGTGTTAACCAGGTTGATGGAAACTCAAATACGGAGCCCAGCCTGCTGGCTCTGTGGGACAGAGAGCTCAGTGAAGGAACAATGGCCTCTGCCAGCACTTCTGCCTGGCAGAAAGGTGCCCTCGCAGTTCTCACCTTGATGCCAGTCAATTCAGTTCCTCCCTGTATATCCCTGGTGCCTTTCCACCTGTTGTTCCAGTGCTGGAGCTTAGAGCACATGAGTCCAAGTAAGTCTCTGTGGGCCCTTTAAGAGGAAATGCCTGGGACTCCAGCAGCCCTCGGTCTCACTTAGCCACAGTCCCCGCTGGTTTTTACAGCCAGAAGTATGGGGACTTCTTTCCTGATACTGGAACCCTAGGCTCGGGGGGCATCGGGTGGGGCTGGGACCCTCGCTCCTCAAACCTCCACAGCTGAGATATCCCTCCCTACCACACATGGGTGTGAGACCAGCTTTTCTACATCTCCACCCTTCCTATCAGTCTCAGTGTGGCTTCTTCTTTATATCCTTAATTGTAGGGCTTCTGTTCAGCTAGATTTCAGGTGGTTCTGAATGGTGGTTATTTTTTTGTAGTTTAGTTGTAATTTTGATGTGCTTGTGAGAGTTTCCAAGTACTGCATTTACCTGTGCTGCCATCTTCATCTGTTTTTAAAATATAAATGAGTATATTCCCATGTCATTCCCTGGAAATATTTTAGCAATTTGATTGCCCATCAGCAGTATATGAGGGCAGTGTGGCAGATGGGCTGGAAAGGAGAGGTAACATGATTGGAAGCAGAGATGTGGGAGGTTTGGGGGAGGCAGGAAGGAGGAGGCGCCATCACCATAGGGCTGATGGGCAGGTTGAGAGAGTTGCAGACCAGAAAATAGTGGTGTGTTTTGCCCAGCTGGTGTTGCTCAGTGTTTGAACATCGAGCCATGCACCAAGAGGTTGCTGGTTCGATTCCCAGTCAGGACACATGCCCGGTTGCGGCTCAATCCCCAGTGAGGGGCATGCAGGAGGCAGCCAATCGATATTTTCTCTCATCGATGTTTCTATCTTTCTCTCCCTTCCCCTTCCTTTCTCTCTAAAATTAATTTTTAAAAGATTAAAGAAAATAGTGGTAAATGTTTTTTCACAATTCTAGCAATTCACTCTGGTCTTGAGGTTGAACTGAACCCTAAATCACCTTGCAGGTGGACAACCTGGATGAATTTCTGAATGACCCTCTGAAGCAGCACACACTGATCCGCTTTCTCCCCAGGCCCATCCGGCAGCAGCTCCTGTACAAGAGGTGAGTCCCCGGAACAGACGTAGAGTGGCCGAGGCTCCCTGCACGCCCCTTGAAGTTAGGGTCTGAATCCTCATTAACCAGGAAGAGGAAAGGTGTCTGCCTCGCTGGTTGTAAAGATTCGAGGTTTTCATTAATTCAGCCACCTGTGAGCCTTCTAAAGCCCGGGCAAATGAAATGTGGGCTGGTAAATTTCATACTTGATTTCAAGGTTCTTTTAAAGCAGCAGTTCTCAACCTGTGGGTCGCGACCCCTTTGGGGGTTGAACAACCCTTTAACAGGGGTCACCTAAGACCATCAGAAAACACATATATAATTACATATTGTTTTTGTGATTAATCACTATGCTTTAGTTATGTTCAATTTGTAACAAAGAAAATACATCCTGCATATCAGATATTTACATTATGATTCATAACAGTAGCAAAATTACAGTTATGAAGTAGCAACGAAAATAATTTTATGGTTGGGGGTCACCACAACATGAGGAACTGTATTAAAGGGTTGCGGCATTAGGAAGGTTGAGAACCACTGTTTTAAAGTAAATTCTGCTGATAAAGTCTGCAAGCCTTAATGTGGTTTTGTCCTTTTGTTACTTTTACTTTCTAACCCAAAACCCCAGTTAGAATTGATGCTCCATTGCCCTTGTTGGGTGTGGGAAGGGCAGTTCTGGGCTCCAGTACTGTGCAGGCCCAAGGCCAGTCCTCCAGGTCCCACCAGGTAGAAGAGGAGAATAAGTGAGGTGCACTCCTCGCCCCAGATGCAGACCCCCTGACCACAGTCAGCGTGTGGTGTGACTGGATCCTGCTCCTCCCCTCTGTTTCCCAGACGATACATTTTTTCAGTGTTGGAGAACCTGCAGAGGCTGTGCTACATGGGGCTGCTGCAGTTTGGTCCCACAGAAAAGTTTCAGGATAAAGATCAGGTAATATCTGTCAAGCCCAAATTGAAGTGGTCCTGACCGTTAAGCACAGTTTCCAGGCGACTAACCTGAGGCTGACTCTGAGGTCTCTCCCGCCCCATCCCTGCCTGCCTTGCAGATCTTCATTTTCCTGAAGAAGAAGGCGGCTATCGTTGACACCACCATCTGCGACCCACATTACCACCTCGCCCACAGCAGCCGGCCCTTTGAGAGGCGTCTTTATGTCCTGAATTCAATGCAGGATGTGGAAAACTACTGGTTTGACCTGCAGTGCGTCTGCCTCAACACCCCTCTAGGTACCATCTGTCTTTGCTGGTCCTCACTGTTTCCCCCCCCTTTCTGTGGAACAACTGGAATTAGAGCTGGAGAGGACGAGATGATGCCTCGTGGTTTTCAGGCTCCCGGAGGCCTATCGTGTCCTTGGGGCTCCCTTAGAAAGAAAGCCCAAGCAGCTCCACTTGGTCTTCATTTATGTGTTCATTCAGCAGGTGTTTGTGAGCACCTCAGCGTGCATTTCCTGTGCCTGACCACAAGCAATGAAAGCACACCTCTTCCCGGCCTTCCTGCGACTTCATTCTTGGGGAGAAGGCGCGCACACACACACACACACACACACACACACACACACCCCGAGGAAATAAGCAGGGCCATGAGCTGAGGGCATTTGAATGAAAGGTCAGAGGCAGCCTTTCTGAGGAGGAGACATTTGAGGCTGAGCCAACCGTGTCCAGAACTGGGAAGAACATTCCAGGCACAGGGAGCAGCAAGTGCGAAGGCCCCAAGTGTGGTTGGAGAAACAGAAAAGGCCGCATGGTGGGAAGGAGAGTGGCAGCTGAGATTGGGAAGTGGGCAGGAGGGTTTGTGGGAGCTATAGAGCCTCCCTCCAGCCCAGCGTGCTTTCCTCGAAGCCAGTTTTCAGCTGGTCTTTTCTTGCCAGTTCTACCAGGAGAAAAAGGATGGGCATCGGATTTGCACCCGGGAGAGACATCTGATCCTCCTCCTCCTGTCACAGAGCTGCAGATCAGTGTTACATACTGGTTTTTGCACAGCAAGGATTACATACTTGTTCCGTGGGATTGTTCAGGGTCAACAGCCTAATGAGCACTTGTATTTAGAGCCTTTAATGGGTCCAGACAAATTTTAGGACAGTGTGTGTCACGGACTCCTCTGGCATTCACTAGTGAGCTAGGCTTTTACCATTTCAGATTTTAGGTTATCTAATTCCCCTGCATTTTATCCCCAGATGAAAACTTGTGAGCCAGTGTGTTATTTGCACCAAAGATTTTCAGGCTTAACAGTTGGTGAATTTCCATCCATCCCTTTTAGTGTTTGGGAGCAGACATGTGGGAGGCTTATTGAATCCATTAATCAGACCTTGATTGTCCCATCATTTAGCGAACATATGAGGGGTTCCCCAAGGATGAAGGGAAAGCACCATCTAAAAGACGTGAGCATCCTTTAGAGCAGGGGCTCTGGACACAAGTGTGCGCAGCAGCACCTGGGAGCCTGAAGTGCAGCAAGTGCAGAGGTTTGGACTCAGCAGACCTGGGCTGGCCTAAACCTGCATTCCTACCAGCAGCTGTGCTGCACAGAAGCGTCACCTTAAGTCCCCTTAGGTTCAACTGCCCATTCAAATGCATGACCTTGGACAAGCTCTTTGTAACCTCCTGACTTTAGGGGACTGTGTTTCACAGTGTCTCCATTTCTAAACTGGGAATACCACCACCACCTTATGGGCGGAGGCGAAGCTTCACCCAGAGGTCTCTGTAAACTTGGCTGGAGGGAGGCGGGGGGGACATGGCCTCTCCCCACAGCCCCTCCCCCACCCCATCAAGTCTCCAGATGAGCATGTTATGAGAGGGTCTTCGATAGTCTGCAAATTATCATCACCTTCCCTTGCCCTATTCAAGCAGCAGTTTTAATAGTAATTTATGTTTTCTTAGGAGAAATGCGATCTTCTTTATTGTGGAATAACTGAACGTAATCGCTCCACTGAATGAGTGCTCCTCTTGGGCACTCGGGAAACAAGAGGCTGCTCCTGGCTGCTCTTGGGGAAACTGATGCCGCATCAGCTATCTGTCCCATCCCTGCCGCCCCGACCCCTGCAGCCACAGCCCAGTGCGGTCATTTCCATTTACTGCCTCCTCTGTCGCACACAGCATGCCCACGGGGCCCCAGGAGGGAAGGCATATGGTTCCTCTGCTCATAACTCCCCGAGCCTACTGTGTTCTTTGGTCGCCTACTGCCCAC